GCCGAGTACCGAGCACTCTCGGCTGCCGCAGCTGAAGTAATGTGGCTCACCTATTTGTTTGACATCCTAAAGATTAAGCTTCCTCCTCCTCACCTTTTTTGTGATAATTAGTCCACCATCTGTCTGACAAAGAATCCTGTCTTTCACAAGCGAATGAAGCATGTTGGTACTGATTGCCATTTTGTACGAGAACAGGTAATTGCTGAACAAATGACAGTCTCGTATGTTCCTTCCCATGAGCAACTTGCAGACCTTCTCACAAAAGCTCTCTCTTCACCACGGTACTCTGCATTGGTCGCCAAGCTTCCGCTCGTTTCACGGCGTTCAGCTTGAGGGGGGATGTTAGATAACTATGGTAATAGTTATAGTTATAGAAGGATTGTTATTATAGTTAATTACCATATTTGGAGAATCCTAATTGATGTAGGAATCTCCATCTATATAAACTACCTTGTACACAATTATTTCCTTGAGTTGAAATCATAATTCAATAATTTTAATAATAATACTTTCTCTGTCCTTGAAGCATCTTTCCTTATTGTTTTTTTAAAGATTTAAGGGAGAGATATTTTTGTGTTGACTTTCCAAAAATTTCTTGATGTGATGGGTAAAAGTAAGATCTGATATGTAGATTATTTGTAAAAAAGTATGATGTGATAGGTAGAGTATAAAAAAATAAAGAATAAAAGTAATTTTTTTAATAAATAAGAGAACATATTTTGGGGACAACAATAAAATGAAAGAGAAAGAGAAAGTGGAAAGAAGCAAAGGGTGAAAGCGATTTTGAACGGTTTGGAAATGGCTTATTACGAAGTATTATTATTGGGGGGTTGTTTGGTCTCAACCGTTTCTGGCATTCCTTAATAACGCGCCCCTCTTCCGTTTCCTTGTTAAAAATAAAAAACCGTTACTTTGTTGGTGCGTCATAAGAGCGTTACCAATTCACGTTCCATTCATTTTTCATTAGTTGAAAGGTACATCTTTTTTTAGTTTATTTAATTTATATTCCATATCATTTTGATTTTAAGAATTACCCTCTAGTCTCAAAAATTTTTATGTTTGACTTTTTTGATCAAACAGTATTACTTTTTCACCACATTAATTTTTGATATATCAAAATTATATTCTAAAATGAATCAAATTATATAAAATTTCTATTGTAACTAACTACACTTTTCTTACAATTTCTATTATAAAAAGAAATATTTGCACTAAATAGCACTAAAACTTAAATCATTTTCTTAAATAGCATTTAAATTATTTTATTCCTTAAATAGCACTTAATAATGTCCAGTGATGGCGAATATTTGCTTGAATAATAACTAATGCATAATGACTAAAAGTGCTACATTGGGAAGAAAAACACATATGGTGCTATTTAGAGAAAGTCATTATGTTTTAGTGCTATTTAAATAAATTTCTATTATAAAAAAAATGTCTGCGTCCTAGATGAAGAAAGTCTAACGATCCAACTAACAAGTAGTAACAACCAAAAATAAATAAATAAAATGGGTTTCGTAAAAAAGGAAAGAAAAAGAAATTAAAATGCGAGCAGTTTACGGTTCATGCCAACTTCTTCTACCCTTTTTTTTCCTTTCGGTTACATATCATATCCGTACCTTCTTTACCCTCCCAACGCCCATTATTATATATAACAATCAAAATTGCAGCTTCTAAAATGAATTCAAAGCTTAAGAAAAGCTTTTTAATGGAGGATGGTGGTAGTGGAGGGAAAGGGAAAGTGGCAAAGGGTTCATGGAGTCCGGAGGAAGATGCGAGGCTCGTGAAGCTCGTCGAGCTTCACGGTCCTCGCAACTGGTCTCTGATAAGCACCGGCATTCCTTCCCGTTCAGGGAAGTCGTGCCGGCTGCGGTGGTGCAATCAGATGAATCCGGCAGTCCACCACCGTGCGTTCTCCCCGGAGGAGGATGCCGTCATCCTCCGGGAGCATTCCGTCCTCGGGAACAAGGGGGCCGCCATCTCGCGCCTCTTGCCCGGGAGGACGGACAACGCGATCAAGAACCACTGGAACTCATGCCTCCGGCGGAAGTGCGGCGGCGGCGCGGAGGCCAAACGAGCTCGCATGGACGTCTCGTCGCCGGAGAATGAGGGGGAGGAGGAGTCGTGTGCGTCGCGGGAGGAATCGGAGACGCGGACTTTGCTGCCGCTGTTCCCGCCGGGAGGGAAAATGGAAGGTCAACACGCCGATGAAAAGTCAATGACGGAGGAGGAGCCGTTGCGCAGTGGTTCCGGCGAAATGGCTACGGCGGAGACGAGTTTTTACACGATCATGCAGCGGATGATCGCGCACGAGGTTCGTAGTTACGTTGACAAATTACGGGCACGCGGTGGGCTTGGGCCTGGCTTTGAGCCCAATAATAAAAAATGACTGTTTACACTTAGTGGAGATATGTAGTTAATCTAAATGGGTTCTTGAGAGTGGTTGCCTATATTTGGTCCAAACCCACTCATCCCATAAAACACTTCTACCGACATCTAAAATGTTTAAAATTTACAACATTTCTTCTTTATTGTGGGTAGGGGTTATTTTAAAAGTTTTTTTGGCATTAAGGCGGGATAAAAGTGTTTTATGGGATCGCAAAAAATGAAACAAGAAAGATTTTTTGGGACGGAAGGAGTATCAATTTTTGAAATCATTCGTTATTGGGCCTACACAAACTTTGCTAGCGTAATTATCATGTAGTGAATCGAATTTTGGTTTGCTCTCTTCACAGTTCACTCTTTGATCATTTTTTTTAATAGCACATAAATTGATTGAATTTAAATTTGTAGTCTTGTACAATAATATTTGTTCATTTTATTTAATTTTAATGTATAAAAAGTTTCATAAAATCTTTTCAAAAGAGAATTGGAACTAGTTAAAACAAGACATCAAGGGTATAATCTTGAGTTGATGCATCTCTACACGAATCTATATATTAATTATTAAAGGAGTGTATTTTTACCTTTGACCTTCCAAAAATATCCTCCAAACCCTTATGCAATTGAAAATGAAAGATAAGTTGTGAATATTAATTTCATTAATTAAGAGAACAAAAAAGTACACATTGAGCAAATTCGGTTGCAGGGGGTTTAATTTCATCATCCCCCATACTGCAAGTTGTTCAATCACATACACAAATCTAATTATGGAGGGGAGTTTTTGTGCCAAATTCATTTTTGGTAAAATTTAAACTTCCCTCCAATTACAATTTCATATTCTTAATGAAATTCTATAAATAGAAACTAATTTGTGCATTGAAAACACATTTAAAGCACTTGCTTCCTGACCCTTCTCCTCACCATCTTCAACCTTTCTGTGTTTTCATTCTGTTTCTATATTGAACTTTGTTATTTGAAGCATAAGCATATTGGAGGGTATTGGTGCTCAGAGGGAATTGAAGAGAATGAGGATTTACTCAAACGTAGATCAATATGTCCTAAGAATAGGAATCAAACCAATTCCAAATCAAACATAGTACCTGGTCGACGAAGAAAATCAGCAGCAGAAATAATACACCGGCAGCTGAGTACAACAACATTGAGGATATTCAAATCAGAAACTGTGAAAGTGGTTAAAAAAAATAGTATGGGAAGCACAATTTTCTGAATATTTAGAGAACTAACATGAACCTGCATATTGTACGTAGTTGAAGAGAAAGTAAGATAATGGGTTCTCCATGTGCAATGTTTAAAATAAGAAAATGTATGGAAATACACGTTATATTAAAAACATGTGAAAAAAAGACAACATGTAGAATGTTATAGACATTTTTATAACATGAAGTAGAGAAGAAGTAAATTATTGAAACCAAGTATAGAACATGTTTTCAACATATGAGCAAAATCTTGATAGTAGGAACCCATCTGGAGAACATTGCATTATAAATAAATATGTAACACAAATGAGTAGGAAAGAAGAAACAATTAAAAAAATAGATCTCCAGTGAGTCATTCAAGGCAAAAGAGTTATTAATTTATAATTCAACCCTAAAGATTCTTCTTTGTTTCTTCTATGCATTGGAACTTTAAGTTCACTACAAAAAAAAATGCGGTTTTGGCACGATTTTTGGCACGGACGGTAGTTTTAATTTCCCGTGACAAAACGTTTAGGCATGGATAAAAAGTGCTGCCAAGATACAGCCCGGCCAGATGTTTTGCACTATGATGCAACCCCAATGAAACAATGTGCAATTAAGCCGGTAGATCAAAATAACGGGGTGCTTCAGGTTTTATACTGGAAAAAAGTACCTTTAGAACTGAATGGATAAAAAAAACTTTACTGCACTGCAAAGTGACGAAACATCTGTGAAAAAAGGCTGCTTAAGTTTTTCTTTTCATCATGTTTTTTTCGCCATTCATAAGAGTGAAGAGCAGGAGTGTAAAAGAAGTCTAAGAGTGACAACAAAACTAATTTTTCATTTTTTTCCCCCACTTTATCAAAACTTGTTTTCATTTTTTATCCAAACCTTGGAACATCATTGATTTTCCACCGAGGAAAGCTACCTTATTTCTGGTAATTAAATCCAAGACGACAAATTCTATCTATTGAGGACTTTTTAGCGAGTGTACATGTACACCCGGTTGTACGGTATCTTGCTTGGATATTTTTTTATACTTGATAGAATAGAGAAATTAATTAACTATATTTGTGTAAACATATAATGCAAAAACATGGATGGAGTTATTATTGTTTCACTAATGAAATATCTAATTTATTTTCATCCTTAAAGAAAGAATTTCGCATGCAAGGATTAAAAATTACTCTGTTATAAAATAAAACAGTGAGTAGAAGAATATTGTTATAAGAGAAAAAGTGTGAAAAAAATGTTTAAAGCTGAACAATAAAGTGCAAAAAAAGAAAGAAAAAGAAGCAATGTATTAAAGCTCGTACCGGATCGGCGGGTCTGAAATCGCAACAAAAACCTCTTCCACTTACCGAAAAACACATGTTGATGCTTGCCCATAATCCAACATACAACACAGCATACAGTGTGCACTCTAGATGCCTACATATTCATAGAAGGAGGAAAAAAAAACAAAGGGCCCATAGAATCACATACATACATACAGTGTAATTTTTAATAGTCATCATCTCAAAAACACATTTGCTTAGGCAATGAAGTTCTCATCCAGGCATATCATCTTCCTCTCCTCTCCACCAAATGCGCTCCCTTTCATGACCTCCGACTGCACCTTGGATATGTCTCTACCTACCTATAATAAAGAACTCATCATATACATATATATATATATATATATATATATATATATATATATATAAACATTTCAAAAATGCTTCTTTATAATTGGATAGAAGTTGCATAGTAATACACTACGAATCAAACAAATACTATTAACGCAGGCATTAAATCACAATGCATCAGTGTTCCAACCAACAGATATATGCTACACTTCTACATGACTAAATATGATTTCTTGTGGGTACTAATGAAATGCGTTGCTAAGATCATGTAACTATCATGGATTTAATTATATGTTTCAGAACAGAATTTTCATTGTTGGTTTCTAGTTACTGCCATGCTTTTTCAATTAATGGCATGTCCTCAGACAACAACATTTCTAACCAAAAAAATTCAAACAAAACTTGTAGAAAAAAAAAACCTGCACATCTCCAACACTGAAACAGCTACACTTCTTAGATTCACACTGCCAACACCGCCGAAACTATGGCCTTCAAACAGTGCGTTTTGATAACACATTCCAACCGCCACATTTAAAACAAATTGCCTAGAAACTCAACCAAACTTCTACACCCATAGCCCCCCCTCCCCCCCACCCCCACCCCCTCCATTCAGAAACTCAACCAAACCTGCACATCTCCAACACTGAAACAGCTACAAAGAAGAAATTGCAGGTGTGTGTGTGTGTGTGCAACTTGAAATGCAACACAAGGGGAGGAGGGGATTACTTGTTACTGAATGGTGAAAACGTCAATTTGAGGATTTGCAAGAACCCAAACAAGCAGGTTAAAGCAAAATGGAGGCAGTACAAAATTGAAAGGTTCTGGATTCCATCCCCGTCTTCCTGTGCTTCACTGAGCCTCTGGGTTGGATCCAAATGATCAAGGATACCAGAACGCAACGCAGCATCATTCACCTTCATCTTCTTCTTCGGAACCCCAGAAACAGAACCTGAAGCTGCTCTCTTCTTCCTAGATTCGAAACGCCCTGATTCTGGCTCAAAATCCATATCTTCAGCTGCACGCCTCGTCTTCTTTGAAAGATCAGCAGCAGAGCCGCTAGAACATGCCTTTATCTCTTCGGCGTCCTTAGGAGCAAATTCATTAAATTTTGAATAATCTGATACAATCTTGGCTCTTCTCTTGACAAGTTTGGATATTTCTCTGTAAACTTCAATCATTTTCAATATGCCAATGAAAATCCCCAGGAAACATTGAAAGCACATCAGGAAGGAGATGGATGAGGACACCCTCCCACTCACTCTACGGTTCAATACTTTATCAAGAAAAGGTTCGATCATAGACAAGGAAGTCGCAGTTGTAAGCAACTGGCCCATAGTGTTTTGAAGTGAGTTGGAAATACCGTCTGACCTGTCAATCAGAGCTTCATGGTGGGATTTCAAAGATTGTATTTTCTTCTCGTAGATTTTCAGAAGAAATTCGGTATCAGAGTCAGGGCGGGTGACAGGAGTGTCAAGGGACCCAGGAGTCTCTACAAGAATGTTCAAAAATTGAATCTTTTAATGTATGTGAATCCTAAAAAGAAAGAATACAATGAGTAGATAGTCTAGATACGTACCAGAGCATATCTTTGTCACAATCTTTGGTGGGCTCTTCGCATCCTTATCCAATTCTTCTATCTCCGACTCAGTCCGCCGCTTAAGGGCTTCATCTCCCATCTGCTTAACCGGAGGATCCTCCGGGTCATCGTCGTCGTGGTCGATAAAAGGCTGCTTTTCTTCACCGGAACCCATGGCGGGCGAGAACGGCGAGAAGGAAGAGGGTAATGCCGATTGCGAATGCCGAATAGATTCTTGCGAGGGTAACGCCGCCGAATTTATAGTCATACCCATTCAATATACCCATTCAAGAAAGCTAACTGACTTAAATCTTTCGTCCGTGAGCGGCGCTTTTGGGCTAAAACATGTGGGCCTCTAATCATCAATGGAACATTGATGAAATTTTACCATTAATTAAAACATTGATGAAATTTTACCATTAATTAATGGAATGAGTTTTATTAGTTGGAACTGTCGTGGGCTCGTCAACCCACGAGCAGTTTATACCCTACAAACTATTGTAAGGGATATCAAGCCATGTTTTATTTTTCTTATTGAAACCTTGTGTGATTTCAAGCGGATAGATGAAATAAAAATGATCTTGGATTATGATTATTATTTCTCTGTTGCTGCAAACGGTCATAGCAGAGGTTTAGCATTTCTTTGCAAATTTCCTATGCAAGTATCCTTATTGTCTACATCTCGTTTTCATATTGATGTTGTTACTGATCCCACCCTTGGCAGTTGGAGATTCACAGGTTTTTAGGGCCATCCAGATCAAGCAAGAAGGAATATCACTGATATTTATCCCGTGCCTCGCAAGTATAAATTTGGAAAATAACTCAAATAATACATTCTTTAAATACGTAGTATTTTTTTATGTTCATAATTTTATATTTCCATAAAATTTATCTCGTGCCTCACAAGTGTAAATTCGGAAAATAACTCAACTAATACATTCTTTAAATCTTGGATTACCGTTTAAGTTTCAAAGAAAACAATTTCCAATACCTTTGTGATTTGGCATGACATTCAATAAGAGTCAAGGCCAAACATTATCATTTGTTGGATTATTCTTGACCAAATCGGTACTCACTTACGATCAACTTTATGTTGCAGCTTCACGCGTGAAAACTAAGAGAGGATTGAAATTATTAGTTTTAGATGACAACGGTAAGTCGGTAACCCTTGTAATTGTACCAAAAACGTGGTTTACCCTGAAATTTTCCAAAAAAATTGGATTTAATTCATAGATTTGTACATTCTTTTCCATTTTTATATACATGAATTTTAGTTAGCATACTCTATTTATGTTGTATCTAACATTCTATATTATATTTATTTTTATTTTATAATTATTTATTTAAAACAAAAAATAAGCAGAGTTAAAAATAACATGCGTCCGATCCCGTGCGTTGCACGGGTTAAATACTAGTTTCATAATATTACCATTTCATGTAATATAATTATAATTAAATAAATTAAAGCATCACTCTACTGCTCCCACAAGGAATAGAAGCGAGTCGCTTTAGTCTTTTCATGCGTTCGCCAGAATGCCTCTTTGGTTCAAAGGTATGTGAACATAGTGAAACCAAGCCGATACATATGATAGGCGAAGGATTTCATAGCGCCTGGGGAACGCAAGTTGAATCGAACTTCTCGAAGAGGGAGAGTAGATGTTATCGGTTACTATATATATTGATGGGACCAAATTATATCTACCATACTCAGCACCATTATTATATATATTTTGCTCAGTAAATTTCTCCACGATTACAACAAACTTTGGATACTTTTTATAATTTTATAAGAACTGTGAAAATTAAGAGTTTTTGAAATCATATATATGCTATATTATGAAATATAATATTGTAAAAATAAGATTATAGTTATATAATTTTACTACTCATTTTTAGTGTATAATTTATATTTTCATAACATTTTTTTAGTGATATTGCATAATTATCTTACTTTTTTCAAAACATTGAAAGCTTTTCTAATTCATTATATTTTCATAACCATTTTATAATTTTACAATGGAGAAATAAATGTTACTTCGAATTTGTAGTAAAAATTATATAGTATTTAACTAATACCACATCTAATATTTACTGGTACATATGCTACATTATAACAATTTTTAATATACATTGGATTGTTAACTAATTGTCATATTAGTAATTATGCATTGTTTTTATGTGTCATTTTGTTTGTCACTAAATAAAATTCTCGCCGTGCATCGCAGGGGTTAGAATCTAGTTCAAACTAAAGACGTCATATTTACTTCACGACAAATTCTTACATGCATCTAATGTTAATGGTAAAACTTTTTTACATTAAATAAATAGTTTTAAATGTTAAAATAAGCACTTTTAAAATTAGAAAGAATGAGGAGCCAAAGCTTATTATTCAAGTGACAAGGTAACACAGCCAAACAACTAACTACTCACGTGAAAAGAAAAAACAAACCAATAATTCTACTACTCATGATTCACTATAACCCAACTAATAAAAATCCTTTATTTTCTAAAAGCACATATGTAACTTGAGCAATTAAAAGCAGATCGACTTCTTAGAGAGTAAAGGAAAGAGGTTCAGTTTGGTCCCAAACGAGACGTGGCGCTGCGAGCGTGCTCCTGTAAGCAACCCAACGAGGATAGTGATATATGTTACTATATGGCGTTTTAATTTTTGTAACGGTGTCATCCTTCAAGTTGACCAGAAATAAGAGCAGAAACCAAGACACTAACAACTCATCTTTTCCGACGCTAAAGATCATGAAATCAAAATCCCCAAAGACCCCCCACATACGAATCCCTTTTGGAATGGGGAGACTAATCACAGCCAATTGCACCCATTCCCAGTTTGCATGATCCTCCAAAACATAAATGCCCAGTAGCCCCAATTTATGGTTACGGCGGCACAGGCACAGATGGCCATCGTGAACAAACAAATACATGCCCATCCTACAAACACCGCGGCATTCGAATCCTGGATGTGGCAAAATGCGGAATGTTCCAGAATCCATGTCAAATACGAGCACCGACTGTATGCAATAATGCCTCATGTCGTCCCTCTTAGCAGGAATCACCATCAAATACAAAACTTTGCCCACGGTGACCGGGTAATTAGTGAACGCGTACGACCTGCACAAAAAAGGGGCACATGCAATTTCCTCCTCATCGGCACGGGAAGCTGCTAGATTGTACACACGAAACCGAAACCCTCTCTTCTCATGGTGTGCACGTAGATAGTTGTATTCGTTCCTCGATTCATTAAAGAATACGCCGCTCACATAGTGATTCAAACCCTTTTTCATGGGCGCTAGTTGTCGAGTGATGGGGTTGAAAACAATGTTGTGTTCATACTTGGGCGCGAAATAGCGACCGTTGTATGACACCAACGTGCGTCTCAGATGCTTAATGTGAAGTAGAGGGCCACAAGCACCGTATAGGCAAGGTATGCCACCGTCTAGTTGGAACCTTGACGACTCAAGAGAAATTTTTCTCAACTTTTTACCAAGTGAATCATAAACATAATAATTTCTTTTGTGAAGCGAACCATGTAGGGATAGATGGCATTGCAGCATAAGAACGGAGGGAGCCCTTTCGTTTTGCACCGCGATAAAATGATTGGATGAAGTCAAAGTGTTCCAATGCCTGCACGCTTTACGACATTGTAGAATCGCATCAGCGGGAAGCCTGCTCAAAATATCAATTAAGATCTCGTCTGGAAAATAGCCAAATCCTTTGTCTCCAAACCGGGAACGCAAGAGATGAAAAATCCATGCGATGCACTGGATCATCACCATCATATCAAGGAGCGAGCTGAGGTGATTTTTGACCTATGCACAAAAAAAAACAATCAAACAAAACCCATAGTTGTTTGTACGTTATTTGATCATCGATAACATAAACATTCAAAAAAAACACATGATATATACGGTCATAATTTTGGAACGAGGGAGTACTATATTTGTTACAACAGCAATATGAATTAAAACATGACATGTTTTCTTATTGAAAAATTTATCTGAATCCAGAAAATTAATTTTAAAAAACCATGTATTTAATTAAAATAATGTCAAACAAAATTTAATCATATTCATAAATCCTAAAGAACAAGAATCCGTAATAAGAAATTAAAAGGCTTCGTATGATTGGATCGAAATTCATATAGAAGAAGTTTGAAGAACCTTGTTTTTTTAATTCAAATTTATCATGTTCGAATCGACTTGCACACCTATTTTTGAGATTGAAATTTTCTCTTTCAAATTCAAAAAAATTAATATTTTTTCTGGTTCGTTTTACGAGATTTGACTAAAATTATTTTCAATACAATTTATTTAATTATGAGTGTAGAATTTTATAAGTGATTATATTATTTTATTAAATAACTAACGAAAAAATAATTAAACTTTAACTGTAAATAGCAACTGAGAATAAAGTTTTAGCATAAAAGTATCAAATTTTTACTAAATTATTTTAGTACACCTTCCATTCACCAAAATACTTCCTGTTTCATTTTTCTCTTCTACCAAAACACTTTTTTTTTTATTAAAAAAAACCACCATTGCGGTATTGCCCATATACTTTTTTATATCTTATATATCACATCACACTTTTTCACTAATAATTTATGTATCACATCTTACTTTCACTTATCACATCAAGGATAAAATTAGAAATTCAATTATAAATATGTACTTCTTATTTTTCCCAATATGTCCAATATCTATATCGACATCTATCCGACTCGATAATTGCCTCTATGTTCCCACATTGTCTCATAAATTGCTCTCAATAAGCCATGTCACCAAACAGTTAAATTGCATGGTCCTAATGCAACCCACTTTTTGCTTATTACAGGATATTCGGACGGGGAAGATCATTGGGCGTGGTTCTGAGCTTAATGGACTGTACTATGTTGATGAAGTTGATTACTACGGAACGGCTATGCTTGCTCATGGGACAGTAGACAGGCAGGCATGGCTGTGGCACCGTCGTTTGGGGCATCCATCTTGGGGGTATCTCAAAATTCTCTTTCCAAAATTATTCAATAAATCATGTCAGTTTCATTGCAACAGTTGTATTCTAGCCAAAAGTCATAAACATTCATATCCGCTAAATAACACGGTTGCATCACAACCTTTCTCATTAATCCATTCTGATGTGTGGGGTCCATCTCC